ATATTTCGTTTGAATTCAATAAAACAACGATTCATTTATTAACTTTACATTTATTCAGAGAAACAAAACAAACTGGATAGTAAAGTATATAATATAATTAATGCTATGCAAAGTCATGTAATACTGAAGTTACAGATGTAAGTAATTAGACTAGTTAATGTAGCGTAAACGTTAGATTCACTGTCTAAGATACCGTGTGGTGTGTACTACGAATGTGTTGAGCCCACATGGCTATTCTCCTTCAATTACTACTCACACATCGTTCAACCATGTCAACTGCTCACTTACAACCTCGGTTGATTTTACTCTTTGATGAGTGTATGGATTATCTGTCACACATGTCCAGCTTATTTATGTTTCACTATAAATACGTTATCATCTTTATCACATTAGGTGGGCCTAGTCGCCTTCCGCTTCCTCCACTTCCCTTTTCTGCTTTTTATCTCCATGTCTGTCTGCTTGAACCACTGCATGAAATAAACGCATCCAACTGAATCCGTATTTTGATTGGTATTGCCGCTGTCGCAAAAAACGGAGTTCACCTAAACGTGATATACGGAAATCAGATGAAGGATTTATTTCATAAGCATAGTCACTTGTTCGTAAAAAAATTGGAGTCAGATCCCGAATCATCCAGAGAAAGAATCAGATATGGGAAATTTTGTCAGACAGCTTGTGGAAAAAATGCGTATACATTTAAATTTTCTATAGAGACTTTCAAGGGAAACTTTTTTAAGTTTTAGAACCATTAAAATTGCACAAAAACTGAATAGATATAACATTTTTACATGGGACTTCTTCATTTTTCACAACATTGCTATCACTAGGAAATCTTGTAAGGAATATGATACGTTTTGGTTATCACTTAAAATCTTTTGTCTTACTACACGTATCATTTGGAACAGCTTCTATCAAATTTTACCGATAAGTAACTTTTTTCGGTTACCAGATATATGAAGTTATAATTATACCTTTCATGATTGAAATTGTTCGTTCGTTGTAAAAGTCTTTCATTGAAAAGAATGTTACCTGTTTCCTAGTTGAATACTGCTCTAGCATACATCAGTTGGTTATCAAACAAAAAATAACACTAATCTTCTGCACAATCTGAGTAATTTACGATGTTTAATGAGAATTTATTTCTTAATCTAAGTACAACATACAGTTAGTTAACTAATGAAAGAACACACCATTTATCCTTATTCGTACTAATTACTACTAATAAGTAGTATAAACGTGTAACTAAAATTTCCATTTACAATATTGCTAAAGGGATTTTGGAAAAATTCTATCCATTACAATTAGAAATTACTCACAAATTATATTCACGTAGAAAACCTTTCACACTTAGCAAAATTAAACTTCAAAAAAATATTCTTTTTAAATAAATCTATGTATGTATGTTCAAAGTAAACAAATCAATCTGTAGAAAAAAACCAACCTAAATTATTTTGTCTCAGTCAAATTAAGCTTTACGTTACGAATTTTTATACAGTTTCGACAACAAACAATTTCAGCATTTTTGAAAACATGAATCGATCAATGTTAGGCCACCATTAGAAACCTGGAAGCACTGAACGGCCATTTCGTACTGGTATGGGACTCCTCAGCAGTGCGCATCCACGACTCCTGCATCCCTCAGGATTCGAACCCAGGACCTTCGGTATTGCGCACTGCTGAGGAGTCCCATACCAGGACGAAACGGCCGTCCAGTGCTTCCAGGTTTCTCATGGTGGTCTAACATTGATCGATTCATGGTTTCCAAAAAAATGTGTAACTTACCAATCTTCACAACCCCTGTAATGAAAATTTCAGCATTATTCAGAATCGTTAACTCTCCCTGTGAAGTTTCTTGTATAAACTGTACAAACGTGATCTATATAAACGTACAAGTTTGTTGGGGATGTTGGATCCCCAGAGCTCGTTTGATAAGTGCCTCACTTTGGATTTCACGTTCGCGAGCATGGGCTGATCAGTTGACCTTGAGATTTCATTTTCCACCAAGAAAATCCATGGCTGTGATTGGCTGCTGTGTATTTTAGTGTACTATTTTCGTAACTGTCCCAAGGATGTTTCTATGATGTATAAATAAACGAGAGTTGTGTGCTTGATTGCGTTTTGATTGCTGGGTGTTTGTAGAATATACTTTCTACCCTTACCACAACTTCTGTTTTACAGCTTGGGATTCAAGGTAGCCAACTGGACTCTGGTAATTGTCTCGTTAGCGTTTATTGATTAAGGTGAACTCGTAATAGCTTCAAGCGTACCTAGTGACGAACGTAACAAAGTTATCCTTAGCTAGAGAGCAATGTAATTCTGTTAATTGGTGGACATTTAACTTATACAAAATCGTTTTTTTCTCATTATGTTTAGTTAACTTTTAAATCTCTACATAACTTTTCAATTTTCTAAATATCTCATGATGCTACTAATTCTTTATTTTTCAGTGGACTGTTGTCTCTTATGAATATGATTCTTTGCCTTGAAATCATGAATCAATCATCAATAGACTACCATTAGAAACCTGGAAGCACTAGATGGCTGTTACATCCTAGTGTGGGACTCTTCAGCAATGCACTTTCAAAACCCCCACTCGCAATAATCGAACCTAAGAACTCCAGGTTCCGCGCGCAAACTCTTAACCTCTTAACCACTAACATGATATCTATCAGTGTTGATGCTTAACCTGTATCAACCTAAGGTTTTCGCGCACTGCTGAAGAGTCCCATACTACGGACGAAACAACTGTCCATTTCTGTCAGGTTTCTAATTCTGGTCTAACAATGATCGATTCACCATTTTAATGCATTAAAACAATCTCAATAACTCCATCATGAATATAATGCTTTGGTAGGTGATCTTGCCAAAAATTTCACATAGTTTAATTGTCATTATAATTTTTTTCAATCACAGTTGATTTATTTACTAACATTGAGTGTTAATTAGGATTTAAAAATCAAATTCATAGAAAATTAAAAAAATCGTCTCATCATAAATATTTCTTTTCTTGTCTAATTTTTTTTGTTTTAAAGAAATCAAATTTGAAAACTTTGAGATTTATCCATTAAACATCTGTAATGATTATTTCGGAAGTGATCATTGATAATGATAATAATAATAATTGTCAGATTAACACTACTAGACTGTATTTTTTTTTGAGAAAATTACAAATGAGATGTATGTTAGAATGAAATAAGATCAACGTCTTCTGTTCTTCTTAATGTGTTTTGTAAATTTCCTGTCTTATTTAAAGTTGATACTTGTTTCATTTGTATACATATATATCATTATTACTGGATAGAATAAAAACTCGGAATAAAATTGTCAGTTAATGTTTGCTTGAAATACATTGTGATCTTGTTAAGAGATATTACTGAATATAAGATTTGTTCTTCTTTAAAGAGGATTTTTTTGAGAGGCTACAATTATTTCTAATCTATAGTGTGTAATGTACAGTTTCATATATGGCGTCAACATTAAATTAACTAACTCATACTAATGAATGTATTTAAAAAATCAGTAAACACCATAGAAATTCAACAGGGTGTTGTTAAACAGAATGGACTTCGTAGACGACCAACTTCGAGATCTACAGGCTCGATGACCAAATGGTAACATTACGGATCAATATGGAACAATCAATCGAATGGAATTCACCACTCTTCATCAACTTCATCGACTACGAGAAAGCATTCGATAGTGTGCACAGGACAACACTATGGAGGCCTCTTCTACACTATGGCGTGCCTCAGAAGATAGTCAACATCATACGGAATTCATACGATGGATTAAACTGCAAAATCGTGCATGGCGGACAGCTAACAGACTATTTCGATGTGAAGACCGGTGTCAAGCAAGGTTGCTTACTCTCACCCTTTCTCTTTCTCCTGGTGATCGACTGGATTATGAAGACGTCAATATCTGAAGGAAAGTATATCGCAAGGATGCAGCTGGATGATCTGGACTTCGCAGATGACCTGGCTCTTCTATCGCAAACGCAGCAACAAATGCAAGAGAAGACGACCAGTGTAGCAGCAGCCTCTGCAGCAGTCGGTCTCAACATACATAAAGGAAAAAGCAAAATTCTATGATGCAACACAACATGCACCAACCAAATCACTCTTGATGGAGATGCCTTGGAGGACGTTAACAACTTTACATATCTTGGCAGCATCACTGACAACCATGGTAGATCCGATGCAGTTGTGAGGGCGCGGATCGACAAAGCAAGGGCTGCATTTATACAATTC